ACCCGCTTGGGAGGCTGAGGAGGGCAGATTATGAGGTAAAGAGATCAAGAACATCCTGGCCAATGTAATGAAACCCCATCTCTACTAAAAATACAAAAATTAGCTGGGTGTGGTGGCAGGCACCTGTAGCCTCAACTACTTGTGATTCTGAAGCAGGAGAATCGTTTGAACCCAGGATCGGCAGAGGTTGCAGTGAGCCGAGAATATGCCACTGCACTCCAAGCGTGGAGACAGAGCAAGACTCCGTCAAAAAACAAAAAACAAAACGAAACAAAAACCACCCTCAACAAATCGGCCCTGGCTGCCCACAACACTTTTCTGAGAGAAAGGCTGAAAATGCATTCAGTGAAGCCAAGGATACCATTGTAGACAGACTCTACCACATCAAAAATTAAAAGAGATGTTTTTAAAAAGACTTGTTTATTAATTCATAAAAATCACAATAATAAACCCATTGCATATTAACAAAAATAATACTTTTTATTACAAATGACCCCAGTTCCCAAAGAGAGGCAGACGATCGACTCGAAGCGTGTGTCATATGGTAAGAGTGTAAAGGGGCCTGTGGCCAAAATGTTTGAGAGCTGCAGTGACAGGGTACCGTGGACAGGGTGGTCGGGGGAGGCCTCTTTGAGCGGGTGATGCTCCGCTGAGAGCCACCAAGAAGTCAGCCACGTGAAAAGCAGAGGGACATACGCTCCCGGTGAAGGCAACAGACAGTGAAAAATAGGTGCACTGGCAACAGAAAAGTCAGCAACCTGGCATCCCAGAGGCTAGGGCAGTGCCCAGTATACAGGAAAAACTCCATCAACAGTTTCTGGGTGAACAGAGGGAGGGAGGAGAGAAGGAGGAGACAGGAGGACTGGGAGGAAGCGCTCTTCTCATTCGGGGTCTTGTCGTCCTTTGAGGGCGGAGGGGCTCACAAGTTCTGCCAACACTGGGAGATTCCCACTCTTCTTACCATGCCTTGAACGCTGCTGCACAGATCAGCTCCACTTCTTAGCTCTGTAACCTCCACTGGACTGTCCACCCCAGCCCGCCCCAATATCCATCAGTATCCTCATCTCCTACAGAGCCAGTTCAGTGAATGTTGAAGGAGTCGCTCCAAAATGCTCTGCACCGCGGTTGCTATTTTCTCCTAATTCATTGACCATTCCCCATCCTTCAAGGCTCCCCTCAAGTTTTGATTCTTCCAGGAAGCCTCCCCGTACTGCCCCCACCCTCACCTCACCTTCTCCTGACCTCCTTTTCAAAAGAGCACCTCTGGCCCCCATCCCATCATCTGGTGCTAACATAGAATGAGGTTTCGGGAAACACTTGCAGGGTATCAAGCGCTGTCTCAGCTCTGCAAGAACCCTTGGGAACCTTCACAATGGTCCTAGGAGGTGGGAGTGGTCTTCCCACTCTGCAGAGCAGATGGAGGCTCAGGGAAGGGGAATCATCCCCAAGGGTTCACAGCAGGTGTTTGGCAAAGCTGGGATTCAAATCGAGGTTTATCAGTAATCTCAATCCTAAAACTGACTCCAAAGTTCTTTTAAAACTACCAGGCGCAATGGCTCATGCCTATAATCCCAGCACTTTGCCAGGCCATAGTGAGCAGATCACAAGGTCAGGAGATCGAGACCATCCTGGCTAACACAGCGAAACCCCGTCTCTACTAAAAATACAAAAAAATTTATCTGGGTGTGGTGGCACGTGCCTGTAGTCCCAGCTACTCAGGAAGCTGAGGCGGGAGAACTGCTTGAACCTGGGAGGCAGACGTTGCAGTGAGCCAAGAACGAGCCACTGTACTCCCCAGCCTGGGCGACAGAGCCAGACTCAGTCTCAAAATTAATTAATTAATTAATTAATTAATTAAACCATCCCCAACAAACTCCTGGCTGCCCAGAACACCACTCTGAGAAAGAACCTGAAAAATGCACCCAAGTTCCAAAAGAAAGATAGATAGGTGATCAACTTGCAATGTCTGTCATGGATGAAGGGAAGAGCGGCAACGTGTGTGGCTTATATTTGTCAGTCCTTCATGACCACACGCTAAGCTCTATCTTTTACTCTGTCACCAAGGAACTCTTTGCCTCCCCAAGGAAGTATAATCTCCCCGGCAATAAAAACCTGGATTTCGCAAAGCACTGCCGTAGGCACAAAGAAGTGTCATTTTTTAAAAATACCACTAGGCACGGTGGTGTACGCCTGCAGTCCCAGCTACTCAAGAGACTTAAGCAAGAGCATCGCTTGGGACCAGGAGTTCAAAGCCAGCCGGGGCAACATAGCAAGACCTCATCTCTAAAAAAAGAACAGAAAAATAAATACCAATGGTGATAGTGATTGCACAACAACGTGAATGTATTAAACTTAAAAATGATTATGGTGGTTAAGTTTTAGGTTTATTTTACCAAAATTAAAAAATAAAATGCCCCATTATACCGACTTCTAGGGTCACTGTTGAGGAAAGACTGAGTCACCGACAGAGCCCACCCCTGCTCCTTGAAAACGCCATTGGCTGCCCCCTCTCCCACACACAGCATGTCCCTTCTGCTTCATACACCACAGGCACGTTTCCAGTGTGAATTGATTTTTAATAGCAAAATGGCATTTTACACAGAAGCAGCCACATTCATGGGTGAAAACAAAAATCCAGTTGACACTCCTTTGCTGAATCCATGTAAAAATCTGATTTTTAATCTACAGAAAAATTGTAATCACAGAAAAATCTACACACATTCGGTAGCCCCTGGAGCTAAATGACGTGGAAAACAAACATCTTTTCTGGTCTGTTAAAGTAAAACAACGGGTCCCTGGATAAACTCTCAGGAGGGCCTTTGTTGGGATGGAACCAATCCCCCACCCGAGAGCATCCCCCAGCTCAGGATGTCACCATTTATACCAGCGCAGCCCTCACAGTGGGTCCACAGCACAATCTATTAAGAAAGCATTACGACACCTCTTCAGATTGGGAGGCCAATTCCTCAGCTCTAAGATCTGCTCATAGCAAGCTGGATGTTCCTTAGACTTTCAAGAGCAGACTGAATGAGGGAAGGGGTTGAAGAGAATGTGCCTGCTTGGGCTCAGCCTCCTCTATCGTCATGGTGTGTGTGCGTGCACGCATGCACGCTCGCACGCGCACACACACACACACACAGAGAATCTCACAACCATCACCAGTCTCTATGTTGGCCTAGTCCCAATCCCTCTGCCTCTGGGAACAAAAGGTTCATTACCCCTCAAGACATATTTTTCCCTCTCTGGGACCAGGATCAGCCTCTTGCAAGCTTACTCCACAGTTGTATGTCCCCCTTGCAGCCATGCATGACAAATGGGCTCCCTCCCCAATGGCATTTTCTTGTAGACGTGCAGCCCATGACCGTGTTTCCCCAGATCTTCTCCAGGGGCTTCACACCACCATGGATGACGTGTTTTCAAGACTGCTCCCCTGCCAAGCCTTTACTGTCACCTTGGTCCTCTACTTTCCCGCCATCGCAGAGCTACCTCCAACTGAGGCAGGCATGTATGGATTCCGATCATCAAAAGATGGACCAAAGGGTCTTCCAAGTTTCAAAAAGCTCTGCTCAGTTGTCTAAAATGTGGCCAG